ATTATCATTTAATTGTAGAAACTGTCTAATTTCTTCTTTAATTTCCTCTGTGACCCATTGGTTGTTCAGGAGGGTGTTATTCAATTTCCATGTGTTTGTGGAGTTTTTGCAGTTTCTTATGCTATTGATCTCCAGTTTAATTGCACTATGGTCTGATAATATACAGGGGATAACTTCAATTCCTTTGCATTTACTTAAACATGTTCTATGAGCTAGCATGTGGTCTATTTTGGAGAATGACCTGTGAGCAACTGAAAAGAATGTATATTTTGATTTTGTGGGGTGAAACACTCTGTAGACGTCTATTAAATCCATTTGTTCAAAAGCTTGGTTCAGTTCTATTATTTCAGTGTTGATTTTTTTTGTCTAGATGATCTGTCTATTTGTGATAGTGGGGTATTGAGGTCCCCCACTACAATTGTATTAGTGCTTACTTGGTTTTTCATGTCCATTAATATTTTTTGTGTAGTTGGGGGTTTAGTATTTGGTGCATATATATTTATGATTGTCATCTGTTCCTCTTGGATTATTTCCTTTACAAAGATGTAGTGGCTTTCTTTGTTTCTCTTAATTAGTTTTGGTTTGAAATCTACTTTGTCTGCAAATAATACAGCTACCCCCACTTTTTTCTGGGCTCCTGTCAAATGGAGAACTGTTTTCCATCCTTTTACTTTCAGTCTGTGAATTTCTTTGTGAACTAAGTGGGTTTCTTGTATACAGCATATTATTGGATTTTGCTTCTTAATCCATTCAGGCCAAGCCCTTTCTTCATCACACTATAGAACATCTTGCAGTTGCTCATATGAACAGTCATTAGTTTAGGGTGATCGTATATGTAGCTTCCAAACTGAGACTTTTAAAGAATGAAAGATGTAATTGTAGTAATTTCCATGGGATAACAGCTGGAAACTGTAAGGTCAGATGGAGGCACGTTTGAGACCACTGAGGCAGGCAAAGTCTAAGCAACATGCGATAAATTTATTGCCATCTGGGTGCAGATGGGCAAGGACAAGAAGACCATTGGCACCGAAAGAAGGGTGTGCATGGTTGTCATAGGGGCGTATAGGTAGGGGAGGGGCCACTGGTCAAGATGGTGGAAAACTTTAGAATCCCATGGGTGATGGGCCTGGGGCTGGCTCATAAACAGGGCAGTGCTGAGAGCAGCAGGGCAGCTGCTGGTTTTCTGTTATCCCTATGCTCCTGTGGATGTGGGTAGTGGGTCTGCTTGTGGGGGGGGGGGTCCCTTCTAGTTGGGCAGAGGTCTGACTTGGAGGACCTGTCACAGACTTTGACTGTCTTAGACAAATCAGGACATTTGGTCACCTTAATCCAGTGTTTCTTGACTGCTCTGCCACATTTTCAGTGGGAAAATTCTGTATCATGGAGGGCTGTCCTCTGTGTGATTAGATGTTTAGCAGCATCTCCTGCCACTACCCATTATGTCCTAGTAGGAACCTCCTCACTGTGACAACTAATACTGTCTCCGAACATTACCAAATACTCCTGCTAGGCAAAATCACCTCAAATGGAGAACAACTGCTAATCTTATCGGAGGCTTCCGATTTGGAAGCTCTACCCTTATGAATTTGATTTGGGGACTTTTCTTTGAAACTCCTGTTTTCTCTGTTCATGGAGTCTTATACATTCACTTTGTCTTTCTGGACTAGCAGTTATATGAGCTTCTATTTGTATCTCAATTTCAAAGTCTCCGCTGTTTTTGCCAACAGTTGAAAGCGTATCTCCAGGCCCCACCAAGTTGATTCTACTTACTCAGTATCACTTTATTTTAATTCAAACTTATTTTAAGTCAGACCCATCCTAAATATATTCTCTAATTTTGAGAAAATCTGTTCCATTATTTTTACATGCTTTGAAAGCAGAGAAACTTAATTTAATACACTCTAAGTTAATTAATTCCAAATTTTCATCTTAATAATCAGACATAGAATTTTGGAGCTTGAAAAGAAAATGAGAACTAATGTTATTGTACATTCATAGTAAGTCAGCATAGTACTAATATATATATTACAGTGAGGATTTATAACAATCCTACAAGGTACCAATGATCGTTTCCACTTAAAATTGAAAATACTGATTTTTGAAAAAGTAAAATAGCTTGTCTAAGTTCACACAGTGAGAAAGTGGCAAAATTGGAGTATAATCCCAAAATTATGAATTACTAGTTCAGTGAACCTTTTGTTATATTATATTTCTCTTTCCTCATTTGAGTTAATTTTTTATGCTGTTATCTATTTCAATTGCCAATCTGACTCATCTGATTTTTTGACCTGTATTTGTGTGTTTGATGTCATGTTCTTCAATTTGGAAGATACTTAAATGCATACAAAAAGTATGACGACTTACTGGATAACACAGCAGACCAAAGCATCACTGCATTCCTGAAAGAAAATCATGAAATTGAAGATTTTGCGATGGTAGGAAATGCCACTTGATATTTCATACCTTGATGACATGTGCTACAGTCAATCCAATGAGTAGTTGAATTAGTATGTTGGCTGGGGATGAGGCTGGGGGTAGAGTCTCAGAGGCAAATTAAGTTAGTTACTGAATGTGCTCCTTTCTACAGAGGATCGATAGCATAAAAAAGCGCAGAAATGAAATTGCATCCATGCACATTACCGTGCCTTTAGCCATGTTCTGTCTGGATGCCATGATCCTAAATTATGATCTCTGTGAGCGAGCACAAAATCTTAAGGACCGTCTGATTCAGTACCAAGTGGATGTAAACCGCAATACTAATTCCAGGTATGATAGCAGTGCAAATAGCAATGATATTGACATCAACCAGAGAATGGGAATGTGACCAGCATGTGTGCCTTCCAGCAATGACCAAACTGAACCTCTACTTCAAGTTTTTCTGCCCCAGAGTAAGGGTGACAGGGAGTTCAGGTTCAGGCTAGGAGGTGAGCGATCCAAAGAAAATTATGTAGGGGTTGGAGCAGGACGATTGAGAGCATCCTTTGGCAGTTTGTCTCAGATCCTGCAGTCTCTGCTTATTCCTTCTTCCTTCCTGCCCTTCCCTCTCTGTCCCCTCCCCTCTTCCTTTCTTCTTTCTTTCCTTGCTTCCTTCTTTTCTTCCTTTTTCTTTTCTTTCCTGAGGATTGAACCCAGGGCCTACTGAGCTACATCTTCATCTCTTTTTATTTTATTTTTTTGAGACATCTCCTTGTCCAGGCTAGGCTGAAACTTGTGATCCTCCTGCTTCAGCCAACTTCTGTTGAAGACTGTCAGTTATTTGCTTTGTGTAAATGATAGCATATTCAAATTATCCCTATAATTTAATTTTTCACAGTCTTATATTAGAGGTGGGAAGTTACATCTAGTGGGCTCAGTAGTTGAAGATAACTTTCCATCACCATGGAACCTGCAGCACATAAAGATAAACTTGCTGGTGAACTGTTGAGATGTAACTACAAATGAATTTAGAACTCCACTTTAACATAAAAATGTGAGGGATGTTTGTTGCTGGTGGTGGTGTTTCTTGTTATTGTTTAGGTCTAAATATGGATTTCACCCATGAGAGTGAGGTTTATGTGTTAAAATTATGGCAACTTTAGAGTCAGTTAACCAAAATTCAGATCTTGCCTCTGACATCTACACACCATTTCGACTTGGATAAAGTGGCTCAGACTTTCTTTCTTCCATCATCAAATGTAGATAATAACAGTACCTAATTCTCTTAAGTATTAGATGAGTTAACATATGTAAATGATTAGAATGGGGCATGGCACCTCGTCAGGGCCGAACACCTGTCAGATGCAATTGCCATTACTACTGTGGTTAACCGTTGACAGAGGTGTGTATGTGAATATTATGCATGAGGTTTTGCAGGTAAAGAAAAGCTGGAAACCAGTGTTCTAGTCCCTAATTGGGAATCGTGTCAGTTTAGCATGATGAGTCTTAACAAGAAAGTCATTTTAGATGATGAAGATGATGGCCATTTCTTTTTCTGTAGCATTTGTAAGCAGTACAGTACCATCGCAGACAAAGTCAGTGAGAATCCCACCAACACTGAGGAGCTGGTATTCCTCATTGAATTCTTAAGGAAATCCAGTGACGTTACTGTGTTCAAACTCAGGAAGCAACTTAGAGATGCAGCTGAACGGCTCGAGTTCCTGACAGACTATGCAGACTTGCCCGGTGAGTCCAGGGCCTTATATGCACATGGGTGTTTATATTTTAATATCTATGTATGACATACCAAAAATTCCACATTTTTACTTTTAGGAATAAGGAGTTGCAGAAAGGAGAGATAGGAATTCTACCACTAGATATCAGGAGTGCTGCTTTTCCAGTGTCCTATACGCTAAGGCACCAAGTCCTTACTGTTGTCCTCAGGAATTTGAGTCGCACAAAGGGAATCTTGGAGACTTGGCCTCTAGCTCTTAGATGTGCGTCTTGGCGTTTTGTGTCTGATATACCTGGAAAGGTCACTTTCAAATGCAGAATCCTTTTCATAAATTAGTAGATTTTACCTTTGTATAATCTTAATACATACCCAAGGGAATGTATTTGAGGGGCCAGGACACTTTCTTTTGTGCCCCTCTGTATCTCTATGTGTGTGTGTGTGTGTGTGTGTGTGTGTGTGTGTGTGTGTGTGTTACTGAGAAATGAACCCAGGGCCTCAATCTGGGCTATATCTTCAACTCTTTTTTATTTTTAGACAGAGTCTCAAAAGAAAAACCTGGGCCTTTTAATTGACCAGAGGTATAATGAGCAGGGCATCTAGTATTGATACTATTACTGCCATTTAGACAAAAGGGAAACTGAGACTCAGGGGAGATGAGATAGTGTAAAGTGTGGAACCAGAACTTCAACCCAGGTCTCTGATTCTACTCAGACCTAGCTTGGGAAGTAGTAGTTATCAGTGAACATAAGCTTTGGAGTTGATTAGATTCATATTTGAATTCTGCTCTTCTGCCTTCTAGCAGTGTAATCTTGGCCACTTGGCTTAGCCACTTTTGCTTCCCACTAAAAATGGGCATAGTACCATCTGCCTTCTACCATGGGCCCTCATAAGCACTTAATAAATGTTGGCTATCATTCATCCACAGTGGGTTCATCCATTGATTGCCACTCCAACCCACTTCTATTGGTCTCTTGTCCACTGAATTGATTCCCACATGCTGAACAGTGTCCTGGAACCAACTGTGTGTTTTTTGCAGAAGAAGATATCAAAGTGAACAGCACTGTGTTCCTCTGGCCAGATCAGATTGAAAACATCTTTGAAAACAGCCGAAACCTGCTTCTTACCAAGAGGGATCAGGCAGAGATGGACCTGATTAAAAGGTACTGGGAGAGTCTGCAGGTGTTTGGGAAATGAGACCCAGCTTCATAACCCACACTGCAGGTTCCTGGTTCTGTCTAGAGCCCCCCACAGTAATGAGTGGGTGAGGGCTGGAAACAGTCAGCAGAGAAGGAATTTCTTTTTGTTTCCCACTGAGGGATGTTCTCTTGTAGCCCCGCTTCACTGTAGGAACCACTGCCAAGTCTTCCCTCCCTGCCTTGAATAATTGGAATTTGGCAGAGCAAAGAGAAAAAAGGCAAAAAATAATAGGAAATAACAACAGCCTGCACAATAATACAGTAATAGCAAAAGTGCCAGTCTTACATTGGAGACCATAGGTCTGTGAGATATCAAGACAGAGAAAATAAAGGCATGGCAGGGGGCTGAAAAATTGCCTATTTTGCAGCTGGTCTTGTTCAGTGCTAATATGGCTGTAACTATTGATTTATTTGACTATTTCATTATTGACTATTTCATTATTTGTCAATTTGATGGGTATTTGTTATGATTTTTACTATGTGCTACACTCTGTTCTAGACATGTATGTGTGTTTAGCTGCTCAGTGAAGATTTTAATCCAGTAACAAGAGGAAATATAGACTTACTGAAAAATCTGACAATGTCAAGCAAAGGTCAAGTGTCATCCACATTACACACACACACACACACACACACACACACGCACACACCCATCCATCCCAGTCTGTAGCACTTTGATTATGAACTGCAGATTCATGCCAAGCATTTCCTCTTCACATATGAAACCTCCCACTGCCCAACTTTAGCTGCCATAATCCCTGCAAGTACAAGAAAGTAAAAGGGTTGATGAAGTATGGATTTCTACACAGACTGGGAATTTGTGCTGACAGCAAAATCCATTTAGTTCCTACCTTGAAAATATGGCCTAGATCTGCTCTTTGGGAGAGTAAGAAAAATGTGCCTTTTTCTTCCTACAGGGTTCTCTTCCCTACACCTAAATGGATACTTTTCCCAGAGCCAAGAACTTAGCCAGATGGATGGAACTGATATATGTTTAAATTCATAGACTATTTTAAAGCAGTTTTAGATTTACAGCAAACTGAGCAAAAAGCAGTAAGAGTTCCCATACCTCATACATACAGAAATACAGTCTGCCCCATGGAAGTGATTTTTATGTCTAGCCAGAAAGCAAAACAGTTTTTTGTTAGATAACTGAACAGGAGCAGGTTTCATCATCTCTGAGCCTCAGTGTCCCTCATCTGCAGCATGGGATAACATTAGGCACATTAGACTGAAGGTCGAAATGAAATTGTGTTCACATGGAGGCATCTCCAAACTGTTGGCTTCCTCCTCTTCTTAACCTCCAAACCAGAGCTTTGCAAGTGTACTCTTAGAATGTTATTGTAAGACTAATTGGAGGAAGTGAGTGCTGGTGAAGTTAAGAGGGGCGAGTGTTGGCCCTGGAAGAAGTGGGAGCAGTGATGACGTGGATGAGAGGAATGCCCACTATTTGTCCCTTTAACCCCAACCATATCTTAACTCTGTAAGAAGTCCCTTCAGTAAAGTATCTTTCTTTGAATATCTGTCAGAATTCTGACCAACCTACCATCTTTGGTTTTTTGGGGGGTTTTTTTGGTAATGGGGATTGAACTCTGGACCTTGCGCTTGTGAGGCAGGTGGTAGAACCACTGAGCTAAATCCCTGGCCCTGACCTACCATCTTTGAATTACTTCATTATTCTCCCATAGACTCCAGGAGGGCACACAAGTACAACATATTTACTCAATCTAATTTCCTGAGGTACTTTTGTATGTGTTTTTATATATGTTAGATATATGTGGATGGATAGATCAAGACATGACATGAAAGTACTTTAATACTATAAGAAATTAAAAACAATAACAATAGTAATGTTTTAATGTAATCCCTGAGTTTATTATATATCATTGCCCTTTGCAAAAAAATTTATAACTACTCTTATCAGATATTTCTCCTTGTATGTAATATTTATAGCTTCAGAAAGAACTTTGGTGATGTGAAAAGGCACCCTGTAGCACCTAATTGTGTAGACTACAGTGAAATTAGCGTCCCCCCTCCTTCTCCTATTTTGTCCAACTCAGCGATAGGTTCCCCCTCTAGCTCCAATTTTTTCTTGAAATGTATTAAATAAACTGAGTCATTTGTCTGCAAATTTAGACTTTACTGATGACACATCTATTATGCCATTTGACGTGTTCTCCAGTCCTCCATATTTCATGTAAATTTTTAATAACTGATTTACTTGCTACTGCTATAATCTTATTCTTGCTCTCCTCCTCTTATGGATAGTTGGAAAAACAAGCTTGTCTATAATGAAGAGTATAGCATGTAAATACAAAAAAAGAAAGCGAAGTCAGCCATGTTAATATCAGATGTAGTCAAAGTCAAGGCAAAAAAATTAGTGGTTCAAAGATGGTTATTTAGATGGTTGGAATAAAGCAGTCATCAATTCTTGCTTATCAAGTAACATGAGTGAATATATAATTAATTAAAATAGATGAATAAATGAAGCTTAAATGAGATAATTGAAGTGAACACTTATCTTGATTTTGGGGGGTATATCTCTCTCCTTCTCTTTCCCACCTCCAATATGCTGTCCCTCTTCAAACATTCTACCCTACAATATAAAGTAACTATTCTTAAATGTCCATAAGACATTTACAAAAATTGGTCACATTTTAGGACTCAAAAAATTCCAAGAAGCAGATATATAATACTGTGCATTAGTTATCCATTGTGGCATAACAAAACATATCAGCTTAAAACAACAAAAATTAATCATCTCCCATTGTCTGAGGGTCAGAAATCCAAGTGCAGCTTAGCCATATGCCTCTGCCTCAAGGTCTCTCATGAAGCTGGAGTCAGAATATCAGCTAAGGCTTCAGTCTCATCTGAAGGCTCGGCTGAGTGAAGACCCAATTCTGGGCTCACTCACATGATTGTTGGTAAGATTCTTTACCTCATGGCTGCTAGTCAGCAGTGGCTCTGTTCCCTGGCACTCCAGCCTCTGCACACAGAAGCTGTCTTCCTTCAGAGCAAGAGAGACACTGAGAGAGAGAGAGTGAACAAGCAAGGTAGAAGTCAGTCTTTTTGTTAGCAATCTTGGAAGTGACACCTCGTCCCTTTTGCCATGTTCTATGTTAGAACTGAGTTACTTTGTCTAGTCCAGACTCTAGGTTAGCCAATTACATGGACGCATGATCCTCACAGATCACATCAAAGCCTGCTTCCCACTTGCAATTAGAAATAAAGCCCAAATCAAATCACTTGCAAGTTAACTCTTAAATTACTTTTTTTTTTTTTTTTTGGTACCGGGGATTGAACTTGGGTCCTTGCACTTGTGCAGCAGGTGGCGAAACCACTGAGCTAAATCCCCGGCCCTCTTAAATTACTTTTAATAAAAAACTAACATGAAAACTGCCATTACAAAATTACATATTTTTAAGATAGTAGCCAAACTCGTGGAATGTCACTAAAGCAGTTCTCAATGATAAATTCTCTTATTCATTCAATGAACATAGATTGTTTGCACCAGATACTCTGCCAAGTGCAGAAAATACAAGGAATTAAGGAGGTAAAAACTGTATTTATAGACTTATATTCTAGTAAATAAAATAACAGCAAACACTTGTATAGTGATTATGATGTACCAGGCTCAATTCTTAGCATTTTAATGATAGCTTTGCTATTAAGTGTATGCTTTTTTCTATGTGTATTCTATACATTTGAAACATAAAGAGTCTAAGTGACTTGCCCAAGGCCACATAACTATTAAGCAGCAAAGTAGGCATTTGATCCAAGCCTGCTTGGCTTCAGATCCTGCTCACTAAACACTATATTATTTTACCTAATTAGGAAAAAGGAGAGGCAAATTTGAGACCTGCTTTCCTGATCATATGGATGAGGTAGATAAATCTCTAGATAAATTAAATAAATCTCTGGAAAGATATCTCCTGATCACTCTAGCTGAAGTACCCCTCTACATGGTTATCCACTAATCACTCTAGTTTCTTTTTTCTCTTTTTTTCCTTTTTCTTCTTTTCTCTTCTTTCTTTCTGTACTGGGGATTGAACCCAGGGGACCTCACACATGCTACATAAATGGTCTACCACTATGCTACATCCTCTGCCCTGTTTTGCTATTTTATTTTCTTTAAACCATTTATGATTATGAGAATTATCTCATTTTATCCTTATCCTATCTATGAATTTATCCATTCATCCATGCTTATTTTCTAGGCCTCCACCAGCTAAAATATATGCTCCATGAGGGTACTTCACAATTACATTTGTGATACCTGGGGTAGTTCTGGAATGTAATAATAAATATCTAATGCTAAATGAAGAAACAACATGTGCACAAACATTTTAGTATATCTTTACCTGTACAGGAAAACATCTGGAAAAGCTTAGTTCCCAATTAAATTCACAGCTCACCTGTCTCTGGTAGATGGAATGTTAGGTAGTTTAACTTACTTTTTCATCTTCATTCATTTTTAGATAGACAGAGATTGAACGGTAGAGAGATAGAGGTAAAAGAGATGGGACAGTGAAGGTACCAGAAGGTCACATTCTCCCCAGAGTAAGCAAGGCTGACACTTTGAAAGAGCACAGAATGGAAAGTCCAATTTTTAAAATTTATTTATTTATTTTTTGTCCGGTACCACAGATCGAACTCTGGACCTTGTGCTTGCAAGGCAGGTACGGTGCCACTGAGTTAAATCCCTGGCCCCTGGAAAGTCCAAATGTGACCAGGCTGTCTTTACTTTCAGATGCGCAGAGTTTGAGTCAAGACTGGAAAGCTACGGCAAGGAATTGGAAGGCTTTAGGAAGCGTGAAGTGATGACCACAGAAGAAATGAAGCACAATGTCGAAAAGCTTACCGAGCTTTCCAAGAACCTAATTCAGGCGATGTTGGAATTTGAGGTTGGGATCTTGAGACCGGGACTTAAGACTCTATACTGCCCTGGTGATTCTGATTTTTGGTTTCGTATTTTCCCAGTGACACTGTCAGGTGGTAGTATTGATTGAGTGTCCAGTACTTTTACTGGTACAGTACTCTCAACTGCATTTTTTTCACACCCCTACATTACAGCAGATTTTTTGGTGAGTCATTGTGCACACACCCAGAAAAGAAATTGTAATAGGGTAACGGCTTACATGTGTTGAGCATTTATTAGGCACTCAGCGGTGTGCCTAGGGCTTCTTGTGCAATACTGTGTCTTCCTTAATGGCTGTAGCAAACCTGTGGCATCAGTTATCCCCATTTACCCTTATTTAAAGTAGGAGAGCTAAGGCTTGGAGATGCTAACTAATTTTCCCCAAATGTCAGCTACTGAGTATTTTAAGCATTAACGTTCTTAACTTTGAGGCAAGTCCATGTAAGTAGCCTTGTGAACAGTCACATAAACAACCAGAGGACATATGGAAACTATGAAAATTTGGAGACAGAGCACATTGGGCATAGGTGCACCGGGAACAAAGATGATAGAGCAAATAGCAAATTATCTGTAGTTTCCATTTCTCAGCTGCCATAGTCCTTGGAGGTAGATGAGGGATCTTCCTGCTGGAGTCCTTGCCTTTTTTCCTCTTGTACTCTCCAAATGAATGAGTGCTTTCCTCCACATGTTTGTGAAGGTGCTGTGGAGGCTTCTAGGGCTTGGGAGAACCACCTACCCAATAGACAGCACCCTCCTTTATCCTGCAGTTAATCAACAAGGAGGAAGAGCTGTTGGAAAAGGAGAAGAGCACCTTCCCCCTTCTGCAGACCTTGATAACCAACAAAGTGCCTTATGAGCAGCTGTGGGTGATGGCCTATGAGTTCAGCACCAAGTCCGAGGAGTGGATGAATGGTAAGATGTGGTCTCGCTTTGCTAGGTCAGAATGGGAATGGAATGGGGGATCCAGCCAGCCAGCTCTGAGATAAGGTTTGATCTCTAGATTCTTGGTGAACTTGTCTTCAAATTCTGACACTCTGGATTAAGACAGCCAGTCAAAGTTTTTTAATGTGATAACAAAGAAAGCTAGAGATCAAAGAGCTAGACCTTGCTAGGTGTGAGGACCATGCCTCTGGTTCCAGCTACTTGGGAGGTGGAGGCAGGAGGATTGTGAGTTTTAGACCAGCCAGGGCAACTTAGTGATATTTGTCTCAAAAGTAAAAAAAATTTAAAAGGACTGGGATGTCACTCAATGCTCCCTGGCTTCAATCTCTAAGGAAGAAGAAGAAAAAAGACCCAGACCTATTTCCGGGGTAAAATAGAACCAGCAGCACCCAAAGCCATGGGCTGGCAGGAACTCAGCAGCAGGTACTGGCAAGATCAGCTGGCTGTTCCTCTGGGCTGCTGCTTTAAGAAGGGCCAGCGTCCCAGACCCCTATAAACTCCCTTTTACTAAAAGGGGGAAGGCCGGGATTTAGCTTGGTGGTTCCGCGGCCTGCCTCTCAAGCGCAAGGTCCAAGTTTGATCCCCATACCAAAAAAAAAAATAAAACCACTAAAAGGGGGAACTCCATCAACCTGAGTTCACTGAGTCTCGGGTGTCTGCACACATCCCAGTAGGACTATTACTTAGTAGTTGAGTACATCAGTATGGAGTTTAAGAAATGGTTTTGGGGGATGTGATATGTATTGGGGAATAACTGATATGTAGATTATGATTAAAGCTGAGGATGATGTCATCTGAGGAAAATGTTTAAGAACAGAGGATAAAATCTGAGACCCCCTAAGTTTATTTCTAGTGCTTCAATATTATAAATACACTTTGAAAACTTTACTGCTGATGTTTTGGATACAACTATGATTGTTTTCTTAAGATAAATTCCTAAAAGTTGTTGGTTATGGTGGTACACACCTGTAATCCCAGCTACTCAAGAGGCTGAGGCAGGAAGATGGCAAGTTTGAGGCCAGCTGGGACTACTTAGTGAGATCCTGTCTCAAAATAGAACTTTAAAAGTGGGGGCTAAGGAGAAAGGCTGGGGGTGTAGCTCAGTGGTGGAGCACTTACCTAGGATTCAATCCCCCCTACCCCGTACTGAAATAGAACAGACAAACAAAGAATTCCTGAAAGTGAAATGGCTAGAGCAAAAGGCATACTGTGAAAATTATTAGGGTTTTTAAAATATTTTGTTACTGTCTTCCAGAAAAGCTATACTTTTTAACATAGCCTTCTAGCAGTTTTTAGGAGTGCCCATTTGTCATATCCTCAACAAAACTGTGACCTAACAGCTTTGAAAAGCTGTCTGAATTCTGGGACAAATCAGCTTTTTTTGGGGAGGGGGACTTGTTATTTAAAATGCTATCTATGTTTTTATTCTTTCCCTTAATTACCATTGAAGCTGAATGTTTATTGCAAAGTCCCAATTCCTGTTTCAAAAGCACCTAAGAAAAATGCTTCAGACTGAGAAATGCTGAGGTCTCCTCCTAGCCCGCTGAACTGAGCAAGTCACTTCCTCCTTGGTGTCTCACTGTTGTGTGGGAACAATGAAGTGGCAGTCCTACCTAATTATGCATCCCTTGGGTAAAGTTCCAGGTGACTTAGCCAAATCCTCCCAAGCAAACACTACTACTCCTTGTCATGTAGGTGCTTTTCTAGCAACTATAATATTTTTGGTGCATACACAGTACACACATTTTTTTCTTTTTTAATTTTTTGATTACTCAACAACAACAAAAAATGTTAAACTTGGTGTAGTGGCACGTTTGGAGTCTCAGATACTGGGAAGGCTGAGACAGGAAGATTGCTTGAGCCCAAGAGTTAAAGACCAGCCTGGGCAACACTGCAAGATCCTGCCTCAAAAGAAAGAAAGAGAGGAGGAGGGAGAGGGAGAAAGGAAGGGGAGATGGGAGGAGGGAAGAGGAGGGAGAAAGTTAAAGGGAGGGTGGGAGAAGAGAGAGAGGGATCGGGAGTTGATGTCATGTGCTCAGTGAATGAGGCTATATTTAGTTGAGGCAGCCCTGAAAGGAAGGTGTCTTTGAGTAAATTAACAACATGGAGATGCAAGAGTTGATGCTAATTTGAAATATCCCAGGGGAAGCAGCAGAGTAGAAAGATTTTGGCCAAATGTGAAACCCAAATACTAAAGATTCCCTCCAAAGGAAAGCAGGGAAAAGGAAATTAATGTTTTGGAGTACTTTTCTTTTAAAGGGTTCGTTCTTTTTTTTTTTTTTTAAATAATTGCAGAAAAGTTGCCAGAACTATACAGGGGGCTCCCACACCCCCACTTACCCATGTTCTCCAGTTATTATTTCCCTAGGTTGCTAAAGTTGCCAAGCTGGACTCAAACCTGCCCCAGCCTCCCAGAGTGCTAGGTTTACAGGAGTGGGACCACCATGCACAACCAGCCTGTGCTTTTCCAGCCCCGTACAACTGGCACTGTTCTCAGTTCAGTGAATTACAGGTACACATGACAAACATGTACCTGGTGGTTTGACCTTCTTCCCTCTTCCCATCTTTTCTGTTGCAGGCCCCCTCTCTTTACTGAATGCTGAGGAAATCACAGAGGAGATAGGAAATATGTGGAGAATGATATATAAGTTGACCAAGACCTTCGCTGATGTGCCGGCACCCAGGCGCCTGGCAGAGAACGTCAAGTTGAAGGTTGAAAAGTTCAAGCAGCACCTTCCCATCCTCAACATTTCCTGCAACCCCGGAATGAAGGACCGGCACTGGCAACAGGTTCTTGTCCCTGCCTGCTAGATGGCCCTGCCTGTGCTTGGCCTTGGTCCTGGTCCTGGTAGCCTCTGAAAGACAGGAAGCATTACTGAGTCCAGCAGCTCCCTGTGAAAGGAGAATCTGCTGGGGGCCAGGGGGGCAGCAGTGGGCCTGATAACCCTCTGAAGGAAGGGAATGGGTGGGTTGTGGAAGGAACTTCCTGTCTCATAAACAGGTTGACCCTTTTTGTTAGGACCCCATTGCTGATGCTTGAATGTTCTTCCAGCTGAGGGCTACAAAGGGTTTCCTTTTCTGCTTCCCTAAGAAAATGGTTGCTGGAGGTCCCAGAAGGTGACAAGAATGTTAAATTCTAGCAGGAAAGCCTTGATTTCCTTGGCCCAGTGTACACAAAAAAAGAATATCACATCTTTCCCCGAAGGCTTGCTAATATTGCCAGACGAGTCCTGCTCAGGCTGACTTTGGTGTCTAGTTTTGTGATACAACAGGCTATGTTCAGAAATAATTTTGCACTCTTATTTCAGCCCTTTGAGCCTATAAATGAGAATAATAAATATCCTCTCTAAAAATAGTTGGGATTTTTATAAGCAACCAAGTGTGAGGGTGATAAATGTGGTGTGAACACTATGCAGAAAAAATTCACTGTGTTTCTAAAATAATCATCATTCAAGGGCTAGAAGTGGCCTTGAAATGCCCTCTATCAAGGAGTTGCTCTCTATGGAGGTGGAGATGAGACAGAAGATTCTTCTCTGACTTGCTCTGTCAGCTTTCCATTGCTGTGTCAAAATACCTGTGAAAATCAGCTTAAAAAATGAAAAAATTTAGGGCTATGGTGAAGCAGAAACACTATGGCAGAAGGGTATGGAGGAACAAAGCTGCTCATCTATGGCAGTCAGGAAGTAGGAGAGGAGAGGAGAGGAGAAGAAAGAGAGAGGTGCTAGGGACAAGATAAAGTCCCCAAAGGCATCCCCAAAGGACACAACTTCACTTAAGTCCCACTTCCTGTCTCCATTACTTCCCAATGGACCGTCAAGTTATAAAGTCATCAGTAGATTAATCCTCATGACCAATCACCTTTCAAAAGCCCCACCTCTGAACATTCCTGCACTGGGGACCAAACCTTCAACACGTGAGACTTTGGGGGACCTTCCAGATCTAAATCATAATCCGTGGCCTAAAATTCCATCAGAACCAGTACAAGATTGAAGACATGGTCTTTGGAAGGACCCAATCTGATGAATAGTGCAATAACTTCAAAAGAATTGGCCCCCAAACCCAGTGTCCAGGAACATGTTGATCTGTCCATGAGAAGGAGGTCATAATATGTGAGAAATTCTGGGTTTCTCTGAGAGAGAATTCAATTTCGCACAAAGCCTTGATATTCAATACCTAAGCGAGACAGGGAAAGGTCATCTGAGTACATCTCTAGTCGTGGATGTGTTGGCGGGGGATCTGCAAAGGTCACCGTCATCACTTGTGCTCCTGGGGCTCCTCCTCCATGGACCTGGCCAACCTAGACCTTTGACCAGCTTTAGGGGACAGGTAAACTCTGGTAGTACCAGGTTTCCCCCTGGTATCAAGAGTGTCCTTAACTATACTTAAAGAATATTCCAGGGACCCCATTCCCTCTACCAGGTGCTTCCTCTGTGATGATACTGTTCTTACATGTGAGTACTTTTTAAAAAATCCCAACTATTCCTTGCCATGTATAATTCTCATTTATAAATAGATTGGAAAAATTATCCCTTAGAATTGTAATTAAATAACAATAACAACAGTAGCTAAAATGTATTGAGCACTAGCTGTATGCTGGGCACCATGTTGCATACTTTACTTGGATTCTCCCATTTCATTTTGTCAATAACCCTTTGAAGTAGAGGCTATTATTATTTCCATTCTGCAGAGATAGAAAAACTGAGACTTGGAGAGATTAAGGAATTTGTCACATGGGTAGTTAGTGGGCAAAGGAGGAATTGGAATCCAGATCTGTTTAGCTTAAATAAAAAAACAAAAAGAGTGCCAGTAATATCAAGAGCAAGGGGGAAGACAGTTGGGAGTATAGTAAACCATGGGTGGGGATGGAATGTGGTCCCAGGAAGGAGGCTTCTGAGGACTGAGCCCCTCAAGTGGGAGCCTAAAGGGCCAAGCAGGTAAAAGATGGGCTCAGAAAGGACAGAGGTCACCAGATGTGCTCAGGCCTGCCTCCAACCAGGGTCACTTCTGCCTCAGTGTAGTTCATACCCTAAGCTACCCCAGGGACAGCTCCCCATTGGGGAAGCCACTGTCTCCCCAGTACCTGTCTCGGCAGCCATTTGCACAAATTTTGGCTCAGGAAGGGAGCTCTGAAGCTAACCCACTTGTACTTGTCATGGCTGGAAAATAGATCTTTGGAGTTCATAGAGTAACTGGGCTGTAGTTTCTGGCCATTTCTAGAACTTCGGCAGGAAAAAACAGTGCCCTGTGTGGGGCATTTTCAGGTATCAGCAGAGGGGTGGCTACTGTGATTTTCAACAAGATGGAACAAGGTCGTATTAGACCCCAGGGAGAAACTATGCTAGTCTTCTTAAGCCAGAACTGGTCCTAAGGCTCAGATGGCACTGTCCAAAAGAACAACACAGCACAAGCCGTATGTGTAATAGCCATATTTTAAAAAGAAAAGGAAACAGGTGAAAAAAATTTTATGAAAATGTTTTACTTAACTAAATATACACAAAATGTTATCACTTATATGTTAGTCAATACGAAAACTGTTGGTGTGAAAGATTTGGAATATGGTGTGTTTTTACACTTAGAGCACATCTTAAGTTTAGACTAGACATATTTCAAGTTCTTGAGAGCCACTGGGGCCAGTGGCTGCACACTGGACGGTGTGACTCTTGGGATTAGAGAACCAGATGCTTTGTTAACCTCTAAAGGCAATTTAAAAACTAAACATGCCACTCTCTTGATTCCTTGCAATGGTCCGAGTACTATGCCAGCTGCATTTCATAGCTGTATCATTTGATCCCAGAGATAATCACTGTGTTGCTCTGAGCTGTATTGTCAGGTGTAAGAGAAAAAATGAGAGCCAGGGACTAACAGGAACAGTTGTGCGTGCTGGGTACTGCACAACTCTAGGAAATGCTATTTTTCTGTGCATTACAGTGTGACTTTTTCTTTCTAGAGTTATGGCGTGAATAACTTGCACAGATATGCATGGAAGACCCGTGAGAGCCACTGGATAAGAGCTTTGGGTCAGAATTGGAATAGGATCCAAGTCCCCATTCTGCTGTTCATTAACGGGGCAGTCTTGGACAAAATAATTTCTTTATCTCAATTTCTTTATATGTAAAATGGAAGTAATAATACATTAGTATCTTCCTCATTGTGTTGTGAGAATGAAATAAGAACAGGGAGTTTTGAAATAGTGCCCACTGTATAGTAAGCCCTCAATAAAACATTAATTACTTTTATTATTCCCATTATCTTTCTGGTCCTCCAGGTGTCCTCAGAACCTAGTTTGGGAAGCCACTAGGGTTAGCTGGTTCATTCACACATTCATTGCATAAATACTTGTTGGTGCCTACCAAATGGCAGGCATCCAGGACACAGGGCTAAGACAGACAGGACAGGACATGGCTCCCATGCCCCTTCTCCCTCTGGCATTCTTTAATCCTACGGGGCTGGACAGAGACAAAATTGAGCAGGTGAGGTTTTCACAGAGCCTCCTTCCCCTCCAGTCCTCATCTCCTTCTCAGCATGTGGGACAGATCTTTCAGTCTCTGAAAAGTATCAGAAGCCATCAGATCCTTCACTTAAGAGGTTGCTGAGGGATGTTTGTACTTAGAGATCAGCCTGGGAAAGTAGTTACACTGGAGGAATGGAGACTTCCAACAGGTGGGCCCCATGAGGTGGGAAGGAGTGTATTTTTTGTTTGATTTTTAAAGTTATAATCATTAGTATGGATTAATAGTACAAAGCAAAGGGTTTCCGTATGACATCTTCATGCATGTTTGTAATGTGCTTTGATCATAGCCAAGAAGAAGGGTTTTGAAGGGGGAGTCCTTCCTCCTCAGCATCCTATGTCACAGAATTTGGGAATCTGCCTATCTCATGGACTCAGGATCACCCCTTTTCTCAGCAAATCTTAATGCAGCTTCAATCACAGACCAAGTTTTCCACAGGCCCTTGCTGCACAGTGACAAACCAGACCTCCATCCCAGCCCTCCAGGTGTTCACAGATCAGTAGGGAGACTCACCCCTAGGGAACTGGACAATGTGGAATGGCTCAAGGCTGCCTCCCAAGTCCTTAGACCTGCACTGTCCAACTCAATTCTCACTAGCTACACATGGTTGTTTAACTAAATTTGAATTCAATGAAATTAAATAAAAATGCAAAATCCGTTCCTTAGTCATACCACATTTTTCAGTGTTCAACAGCACTGTGGCCACAGTGCTGGACAGCCCAGATGAAAAACCTTTCCATTATCACAGAACCGTCTATCGGACAGCTCTACCTTGGACAATAAATATTTTGTTTTCTTTGCAGATTAGTGAGATTGTTGGCTATGAAGTAAGTCCCACTGAAATGTCTTGCCTCTCAAATATGCTGGATTTTGGATTTGCCAAGTACATTCAAAAGTAAGGTTCATCCCTTTCTTCTGGAAGGTTTTTGGTCGAAGTATGTGTGATTTTCCACAGTGATACATTTGGCCCCCTACTGGTCTGTTTTCTCCTTCTGGTTTAGGGTGATTTACGATTAATAGCCCCACCTCCTCCTTCCCCCTCTTTAGCTGACTTACTATTGGTAAGGCTTTCGTTTTCAGTGATAGAGCTCATGATGGGTTAGGACTAGTAACTAAGTCAGGGGATTTTATTGCAAAGGGAAATATAAAAAGTTCTTTGAACCTGAATCTCAAACCCAGTGCTCAGTGACTTAAGGCAAAACAACTCAGCCTTCCTGAGACTCAGTTTCTTTGTCTTTAAACAAACAAGCAAACAACAAACAACTAGAAGAAGCCCCCTAAGCTCTAAAATCCCATGAAATATGGTCAAATAAAAGATATTTTCACTTATTTTCTCCCTGTCTCCAAATCCTCCTAGAATTCATGTATTAGAATTTGTACTTTTTCAACTGTATTTTTAGAATCAGAGTCTTAGAACCCTGTTTGCTTGTTCACACTTCCTTCAGGGCAATGGATGGGGAGACCATGTGTTGCCAGGCTGGAGACCCCATTAAACAACTGGATTTGGGTCTAACAGGACATCTGTGGTTCTCAGAGTGAGGGACTCCTAGCTGCTAGCAGTGGGGAACTCGCTAGCAAGGAACATTCTCAGCTCCACCCTACCCTGCAGAATCCAGTTCTGGGGTGGGCCCTGCTGGCTGGGTTTCAGCAAGTCCTCCAGTCAGCTCCCTCCAAGGCAAGAGCCATGTGTCACCATTGAGCCCTTGAAATATAGCCAGTCTCAGTTTGATGTACTAGAAGTTGAGAAGACAGGTTGAATTTCAAAGACTTATTAAGAAGAAGGCAAAATAGGTCATAATTTTTAATGCTAAAATGATAATATTTTGGATATGGTGTTAAAATACATTATTGAAACTAATCTTATCTGCTTCTCTTTACCTTTTTAAAGAACTGTGGCTGTAGACACTTTGGAATTATGAATGTGGTTCATGTTACATGTCTGGTGGACAGAGCTGCTCCCTCCAGGAAATAGTGGTGCCTGGTGGAGTCTGAAACCCCTCCCCTCACTGGGGCAGGCCAGGTCTAATCTCAAGTGCTTCCCCAGCAAATCTCTGCCACTTGAGTGCTATGATGCCTCTCCAGGCGCCTTCAGTGCTACTGTCCCTCATTGAGGAGCAGGCCTAGACACATATACATTTCTACAAGTGTAGGTTACACTCTGCCTTCAGTAACTCTGGATTCAACCAACTGTGAGTTGAAAATATTTAGGAAAAAAAGAGTGCATCTGGGGCTGGGATTTAGCTCAGTGGTTCCGTTGCCTGCCTCGAAAGTGCAAGGACCTGAGTTTGATCCCCAGTATGAAAAAAAACAAAAAAGAGTGCATCTGTATTGAACGTGTATAGACTTTTTTCCTTGTCACTATTCCCTAAGCAGTATAACAATTATTTACATAGCATTTACATTTTATTAGATATTATAAGTAATCGAGAGATGATTTAAGTATATAAAAGGATTGTGTAGGTTATATGTGTATCAGTTGTTAGCATAATTACATAAGACAAAACACAACATCCTTATGACTGTCAGGTATGAATTACAATCCAAATGATTGCACAGGGGGAAGGATTAATTGGTTTGGAAATTCACAAAGTATGTAAAGAGACTTTAACATCCTCAGATATTGGTATCCACACAGGGTCCTGGAACCAATTCTCCACTGACATCAAGGAATAATAGTGTTTTGTTAAAGCATCTCATTGTTCCTCACATAAGATGTTTTCAAGAGACACCAACTATTGAACACTTATTCTGCACCAGGGATTTAATATATGTTAACAGATTTATCTGTCACAACAACCTATTGTTATAGCTTATATTCTTCTCACTTTAGAGATCAGGAAATAAACAGAGATAAGAGAGGTTAAGTAATTAGCCATCAGTCATAGTTATAACTGAAAGAAACAAGAATTTAACACAGGCAGACAGACTAGATACTTAATCATTACCTCTTACTCCCTAAAAAGTACATTTGTCTAGGGAGACAGAAACTGTGCAAATAAGTATGCAGCTGCTCTTCCTCTCTCCACGCAGGTGTGTTCAAGTACTGCAAATCTGGAGGTGCTAATGCACTGGCCACATTATTTACCTTTATGTCTTGGTTTCCTTGTCTGAAAAATAAGAACAGTAGAATTAATGTGAGAATTATGCAATAAAGCATTATCTTTGTGGGTTCCTGTTGCTATAACAAAATACCTTAGATGGTGTAATTTATAAACAGCAGGAATTTATTGTTCACAGTTCAAGATCTATGCTCTGGAAGATTTTGTGTCTGGTGAGAGCCCGTAGATGGCTGTCCCTTCTTGCTACATCCTTACCTGGTGGAAAAGGCAAGAGCACTCCCTGGAGCTTCTCTTCTAAGGGGTGCTAATCCTACTCATGAGGGTGGAACATTCATGATTTAATCACTCCCAAAGGCCTCCCTTCTTAAGATTTCCCAGTGGGTATTAGGTTCCAATACATGAATCAGGGGTGAGGGACAAGAATATTCAGACCATAGAGGGCATGTAACCTGAGCTAATCTCAGGTACCTAATGTCTAGGTACTCAGCCACTACCTATTAATGAGATGTGATTTTCCCTGTATCCCACTCACACCTTAATGCAGCTTTATCACAGCTCCTAGCTAATGAGCTTCTCTAGCGTATTTGGGTGAGGTCAACTCTTGATATACTTCATGGATTTCCAAACTGATTAAGCTAGCACCTCTGCAATTGTTTGCATTTGAAGTCATACCTTGGGTGGTTCATAAGGCACATTGCAAGCATTTTGTCTTATTTAATTGCATCACAACTCTATGAAGTGGGCAGATCAGGGCCACAGCAGACCTATCGGGTCCTTGGCCATGGCCACACATCTAGTGAGCACAGAGGCCAGGCTTCATGACTTTGTCTCATGCTCCTCTGAGTTGGCACTACCTTTGTTAATTAGTTCCTGTATTCACATTCATTTTGGTCCTCTCCCAAAGGCCACATGAGGATGGTAACCATGCTTCTGAAGTCTTTTTTTGTTTTTTTGTTTTTTGGTACCAGGCATCAAACTCAGGACCTTGCACGTGTGAGGCAGGTGGCGGAACCACTGAGCTAAATCCCCAGCCCATGCTTCTGAAATCTTGATCAGTCATTGTTTGGAGTTATATTTGCCTGGTCCATCTCTCCTTCCTGAGGCCAAATGAAAGTTCTCAGCTCTATTTAATCAGCACATTTTGATTGACCACACATGAACAGTTCTGTTGCTCCTTTGGACAAGAAAGGGAAGAAAGAGACCCTGGCTTAGAAGTCAGAGGAACTGAAGTCGAGCCCCACGTCTTGCACTCCCCAGCTGTGTGGCTTTGGTCACATCATTTGCTCTCTCTGAGCTATAGTTTTCTGGCTTATGAGGAAAGATTAAATGATCTCTTCTACAGTTTAGGATGTGGTGAAAGACACAGGTCAAGGCTGAGAGAATACTTCCTGCTTCCCCTTACAAGAATGTGATTTTCTGATGCTTTGTCCACTTCTGGTTTTAGGACCCAGGTCTCCATGTGAAATCAAGAAGAAAGGAATCTCTTTTCTCCTCTCTTTCCTTCCATTTTCCTTTTTGTGGAGCAGGAGCTGTAGATGGTTCTACCCAGAGAGTCATGAAAATAGTAGGTGTTTTTGAAAAGGAGAGGGATGAGATGTAGAGCAAAATCTGTCACATAAATGAACAAATGTGCAAAATATCCATAAGAAAAACAAATGTGGGAAAATAAAGATAAAACAAAGATGGATAAAAGAAGTCTTTCTTCAGTGACCTTAAAATCGAGGTTCTCAACCACTCTCAGGGTACATTTGGTAACATCCGGAGGCATTTTTGGTTGTCACAGTTGGCAAGGAGTCGGGGTGGGTTAGGTTGTCTGCTACTAGTGTCTAGTGGGAAAAGGCCATGGATGCTGCTAAACATCCTACAATGCACAGGACAATCTTCCATGACAAAGAATTATCCAGTAGGGGCAGAGGATACAATGTGTGTACGCTTACCCATTCATGGTAAGGTCGCAACCAACACACTGAAAACAAAAGGTAAATGAGAAAAAGATCATGACGCATTTATTTAATCAAAGTTACATGGCATGGGAACATTAAAAAATGAAGACCAAAATTTCCAGGGAGAAGCTAATTTTATGCTTCGATTCCATGAAGAATGGACAGCCATGTAGAAATGTGACTGGACAAAAGGATCTGAGCTCACAGAAATAGAGAGAGGGCAAGCCAGATTCTTTTTGACTTCTCTGTGTGACATTCCTTCCTTCCCCCGGGGTATGGGGCCAGACCCCTCTGGAATGGGGGTCTTAGGACCTACTCTCAGACAAGGTAAGTCAGAGAATTTGTTTGTGGCCATTGCCTACATAGAAAGGCAGCAAAATTTTAGAGTAATATTTCTACATTTTATGGCTGACTTTGGAGAAAAGAGGTTCTAGTTTCTATGACCAACCTCAAGGAAGAGGAATTCTGGTTTCTGTGACTCGCCACGGGGAAAGACGAGGAGTAGGAGACAAGAGGGCAGAAGGACAGAGAGACTTTCCTTAGGCTATTTTTGAGACCTTCTATTTTCCTTAATTTTATATTCTGAGCCTACCAAAGCATTGTATTTTGGGATATCATTTTTTGAGCTTCAGGTTTGACTATGCTACAATTTTAGGGCTGCAATCATAAAGTATCACAGCTTAACAATAGAACCTTAAACAATAGAAACTTATTTTATCAAAATTTAGAGGCCTGAAGCCCAAGACCAAGTTGTTGATAGGGCTGGTCCCTTCTGAGGGCTCTCTCCTTGGCTTGTAGATACCAGTCATACTGGATTAAGGTCATTTCTCATGACTTCATTTTAACTTAATTACTTCATTAAAGACCCTTTCTTCAAATACATTCACATTCTGAGCTACTGAGGATTAAAACTCTGACATAGAAATTTGGGGGGAATAATATTGAACTCATAATACTGCTCAAGAAGCCAACAGTTCTGAGAGTGGGAAACTTGTAACACATTCGAAGTAGTTGGCAAATCTTAAACTTTTGGTAAAATTAAAAGCTTTTTGAAGTTCTCTGAAGACCAAACTGAAATTCCTCCTCTTCTGAGTTTCTCTGCCTCTTCCTGTTGGTGTTCATGTTGCCGCGTTCTCTCTCCAGACTGGAGCCCATTGGTGCTGCTGCTAGTAAGGAATATTCCCTGGAGAAAAACTTGGAGAAAATGAAGTTAGATTGGTCCAACATGATGTTCAGCTTCGTGAAATACAGGGACACTGTGAGTCTCATCCAAGTGAAAGTGTGTGAAAACAGCCCCATTATTCTGTGGTAGAATATGAAAGTGATGCATCAGACTGCAGCAGAACTCAGGGAAAAATGATCCCTTACAGCTGGATTGGTCCCTCCCTTCTACCTCCCTTGGATCAGCCAAACTTCCTCTCAGATACCACGGGAAAGATTCCTTTCAAATCCAAAAGGCCTTTTGATTCACTTCCTCAGTGCAAAGACACTGAGAAATCCTGAATGAGCGAGCATTTCCCAGGGGGAGCACAGGCTCGCCGACTTTTCCTGTGCTCCCCGGGGTCCTCAAAAGCAGATGTGGGGTGGACAATGCCAAGGGCTTCTGAAACATTCAAATGTGCAGAACTCATCTAGAGTTCTCACTGAACTGCAAGTTGTGACTAGGCGGGGTGGGGGTGCTCTAGTTCTGTAGCTCTGTCAAGCCCAGAGATAGCCATAGTTTGAATAGCAAGGGTGTAAACTTCTTTCTTTTCACTAGCACCTGTAGATAACATAGGAGTTTATACAGTGCATATGAAGGTGTGTAAACCCCCAGTGTTTGCTTCTCTATCTCTGGGTTCTGGGTTATTTTTAGGATGCAGAATGGGTTAGGGATGGGGACCACTGCTCTCTAAATGATGGAGGCAACAGGCTGATGCTCATGTCCTACGCACCATTGGCTCTTATAGCGGTGCTGCCAGTGCTGGCTGTTCATAGAGCCACCTGGGATGCTTTCAAAAACTGCATTGGTTCTTCCTGCTCCTCTACAATCACAATCACAGTGACTGGGCATTTATATTTTAAGGCCACTTGGGTTTTTAATGTTTAGTGTGGATTAAGAACCAAAACACTAAAAATTACCATACCTTCCTTCTCTCCTCATCTGCATGTGATCCACCTGTGACTTCTTTCCTTCCTTTATTTCAGCAGTTGTGATCTTTGATTTCATACTTGGATAAGAACTATGTTAAGATGTGATATGTATATATATACCAACTTCCCATGATGAGTATATTCATTATGTATTGCAAACATTTACTGAAAACAAAAAAGAACTATGGATGAGCCCAGCATGGCAGTGCATGCCTATAATAGCAGCTACTTAAGAGGCTGAAGTGGGGGATCACCAGTTCAAGGCCAGCCTGGCCAAATTAGTGAGACCTTATCTCAAAATAAAAAGGGTTGGGGATATAGCTCAGTGGTAGAGTGCTCCTGGATTTGATCCCCAGTACTGCCAAAAAAAAAAAAAAAGGAAAAAGAAAAAGAAAAAAAAATACACAGATGAGCCAGTGGGATGGAGGAGAACCAGGCACTTTATGGGCTCCTTACCCAGCCTCTACCAGCAAAGCCAGGCCACATGCGTGGTCTAATTGGACTAGATACTTCTGTAGAGGCTGTTGGGCTGAGTTAAGGAGTTCAGCTAAGGAACCTGGGAACAGCTCCATTATTGCTGGCCCATCTTCAGAGTTTTCAACTGAAGTAGCTATTGACAAGGATCAACAGCAAAGCAGGAATGAAGATACTACTGTAGTAACAGCTGGACACACACTTCCCAGTGCAGAGTTACTGGTAAAAGGTAGATGAGAGAATATATCCTAGGCCCAATGTAGCCACACAGGTGTAGGCCTGAAAGAAATGAGAACAGAGCAAGAAAGACCAGACTTGCCATAGGGAACAGACTTTTATCAGCTTATTTGTCACAATGGCTCGGGAAGACAAGTGCCATCTCAGGAGCTGGCCTGGAAGGCACAGTAACCATACATACTTCTATATAGCCCATCAAATAGAACAGAGGTTCCAAAAAGATCTTGGTTCAGGGCAGCTTTCATGTCTAAATGTCTAAATAAATAAATAAATAAAACAAAAACCAGTGCAACAGCTTTGTTCATGAAGTAATTAGATCTAAACAACTTATTTATGTCCCATCAATTTAACAGATTAAAAAAATAATACATATAAATATAAATTTTAAAATACTTGTATTTTATTTTTAAGTAACCACAATAATTACTATGAGTTGGCCGCAGCACAGGAGTCTAGGCCCAAACCAGTCAGATTAGCAGCAGATCTGCCTGAGTGAGAGGAGGGCAAAAAAGCCAGTGGGCCAAGAAGCAGTAATGTAGGAAAGAAGACAGATGTCCTCAGCCACATGTAGACACCAGTGGCATGACTGGGATTATACTGTACTTTATATCTGTGAAGGAGGTGGCCAATTAGTGTTTTTAAGAACATTTGTAAGGAAGAAAATAGTAATAGTAATCCCATCTCTGCAAGGTATAGATGCTGCTCATTGAGGTGAAGTTCTGAGCTGTGAGGCTTTCAGAAAGTGTGTGTGTGTGTGTGTGTGTGTGTGTGGTGACTCATGATATTGATGGGGCAGGGTATCTTTATTCGCAGGATACAAACATCTTATGTGCAATTGATGACATTCAACTGTTACTTGATGATCACGTGATAAAGACCCAGACCATGTGTGGCTCACCATTCATCAAGCCAATAGAGACAGAGTGCAGGGTAAGAGAAGATGAGGTTGCATGTTCTGTGATAACACCGTTAGCTCTGGCTTTCTCAGAGGAGGGGATAGGTTAACAAACTTAACAAAAAGTTAACCCAAGTTAACAAAAAAGCTTACTCCCTCCTGAATGGAAAAAAAGACCACAAAGCTAAAACACAAAAATGATCCAAGTAAGCATATGGTTTTCCTAAGAACAAGATTTGAATACCCAAAATAAAAATATTTTCGGAAAGTGTCTTATAGGCCTATGGTAATATAAAATATGAACTACTTGAAGGTAGAGGTTTAGCCTCCTTTGCTCATTGTCTGTAGAAGTGACAGAGACCAAGGGTACAGACTTTAGATCAGACTGCCGGGATTCAAATTCTGGTTTTACCCTTATAATTGTATGACCTTGGGCAAGATACTTGAACTATTATGTCTTAGTTTCCACATCTGTAAAGTGAGATTTGTTAATAACATCTACCTCATAAGGCTGCTGAATTAAATTTGTTTCACATTCATAATCATTCAGATCCCCACTCATCACACAATAAGCATTATAACTATTCTTCCTACTATCTTGCCAGAATGTGAGCTTCCTGGGGCAAAAACTCTTGCTCATCTAATTCTTGGCTGTATTGACATTGCCTGCATAAAAGACAGTCAATAGGTACTTATTAAACAAGTGAATGAGTGAATAAATGAATAAAGCCATCCATTTGCTCAGTCACTGGGTCTGTGGTACAGGGGGACGGCTTAATGATTCAGTTATGGAATGCTAAATTCACAGAAATGGGAAGAAAAGCTCATTCGTGTGCAGGAAAATTTGGATGCCTGGTTGAAGTGCCAAGCCACTTGGCTGTACCTGGAACCCATCTTCAGCTCAGAGGATATCATAGCCCAGATGCCAGAAGAGGGCAGGAAATTTGGCACTGTTGACAGTTACTGGAAATCACTCATGTCCCAAGTGGTAAGTTTTCCCCCTGGCACACCTCACCGGCAGGAGTGTGGAGTCCTATACAGATGTTCCTCATTGTGCATGGTGGGCACATCCCTTGAAACTGTTGAATGAATTGGATATTTTCAAATTTGATATTTTTCTATAATTTCTATAATTTACTATAATTCAAATATGGAAATATATAATATAGAAAGCAGAACATTTTTGAAATCTCTCTTCCCTAGAGGTAACTGTTAGCAGTTTGCATTATTTAGCTATCCTTTCTAATGAGATGGAAAACTTTATTTGTCATAGGATAATACAATAATAATTTTTGTAGATTGAATATCCTATTAGAATTTAAGTAATTGTTCACATTGTTACTCAGTTATTTAACAGATGTTTATTTGACACCTACAATGACTCAGGCATTATTCTAGGAGTCAGAGAATCCTTGCAGCTGATAAGAATATTTCTGCCTTCATGGGATTTGCTGTCTTATGAGAAAATAAGCTTAAATAAATGAATAAGAACTGTAGCATATATAGAAATAGCATTTTTATCTGGGAGTGTAAAGGGGGCCTCCAAACATAGGTGACATTAGAACAGAGCATTAAAAAATGAGAATTTCATTGGGCATAGGAGGCAATTGGGGTGTCTCTTGAGAGGTCACATCATATTCCTTTTTTTGGTACTGGAGATCGAACTCATGTCCTTGCTGCTTGCAGGGCAGGTGGTGAAACCACTGAGGTAAATCCCTGGCCCCATATTCCTTTTTAAAGTCAAATGTGCTCAAACTGGGATATATTTACAAAGAATTTGTCCTGAAGGAATGCATCTGCCCTGGTTGTTTGCAGGAATGAGATAACTGAGAATTTATAAGGCCCAGCCGGTGGTGCCAATTTATATAGTTTCTTTGCTTGCAAGTTACAGAAGCCCACTCAAGGTCCTCAGACAAAAAGATGTAATGACAAGGACCCGAGTTCCATCCCCAGTACCAAAAACAAAAAACAAAAAAAACTGCAAAGTTTGAATTCAAGTTCTAACATATCCAAGGTGAAAAACTAAAAAAAAGTTGGGCCGGGGATTTAGCTCAGTGGTTTCACCACCTGCTGCGCAAGCGCAAGGACCCAAGTTCGATCCCCGTAACAACAACAACAACAACAACAAAAATGTAATGAGTGTCCTGTGGAACCAAAGGGCAGAAAACACAGCCAGATCCCCCAGAATGATGAATCTAGAACCCAGAGCCTCTCAGGAATTCACAAGTATTCTCTCCATACTTCTGACTTCTGCTCTCTTTCCATGCTGCTTCAGGCTCTCTGCAGGGTGGCTTGCTCTGTCACTTAGTCACACAGCAGGAGGTGACCCCCACACAGCTCCAAACCCCCTAGTTCAAGGAGCCATCCCAGATCAGAATGTCACGATCTGGATTGTAAACCTCCAGGAGTTAAAATGTAATTGATTCAGTTGGTTTCAAGTGCAAGACCCCTACTCAATCCATTACCAAAGGAATGATATGTTAAATGAGCATTCATCTCTGTGGGTTTGGGGATGGGGAGGGTGGGAACTGGGGAGCAGTAAATTTGGCAAGGGCTGGTCACACACTCATAATCATGGCCAATCTCAGAATTTGGGGATCCTATAGTGATTTTAACTTTATTTTGGTGGCATCCAGGTGAAAGATCCTAGGGTTCTAGTGGCAGGAGACCAACCACGGATGACTGAGAAGCTTCAAGAAGCCAACCTTCTGTTGGAGGACATCCAAAGAGGGTTGAATGATTATTTGGAGAAGAAGAGACTATTTTTTCCCAGGTATCCAGTATTGTTCTCTTATTTGGTGTTACCCTTTTGAGCCATAAATGGGTAGAATTACATTTTCCACACTGACAGTTGGCTTTGAGTGATTTATTCCCTTCTTGGTTCTGCTTTCCCCTAAGAGACAGCCTCTAGGAATGAGGCCTGTCTTCATGCTTATTATCTTGTGAGGTTGACAAGATCCGCACTTTGGTGAGTCAACATTATTGTTGCCCTCAATTAAAGGGATATTATAGTCATGACATGGCCTTTGGAGTTAAACAGACCTCTTCTGGAGCCCCACCTTTCCACTTACTATTCTTGAGACCTTCAGCAAATCTGTTTGGCCCTCAAGTTTAACACAGTAAAATTAGGGTATGGTAATAATGGCATCTTCATATTTTTACTGTGGAGATTAGTGAACTAATGCATGTAAAACATTTAACTCTTAGATGAGTTTGAGAAATTCCAGCTAAATATTTTGCTGTCAAAATTTATAGTTTCTGGTAGATAAATTTATAAATATTTAACATTCTTTTTTCACAAAAATTAATGTTCTGAGTAAAAGTCAAATTAGTTTTTAAGGGCTAGTTCCAGAAGGGAGAGTCCTCACTCCCGAAAACTTATCAATGTCTAGTTCCTCATGTATGGTTACTCCATGTCATTTGGCTATGATCAAAATATAAGTTTGATCCTAATTTATCTTTTAGTGTTCTTTTATATGGAGAAAAGGTTAGTTCCCTGCTCCCCACCAAAAACAAACAAGCAAAAAGTGGGAGGTTTTTTTTATAATTCAGAAATGACTTTGGTATTTCCTCAGTATGGTGATATTCAATGGAACTTTCTTCATAATAGGAATGTTCTGTACTAGCTCTCCAATATAATAGCCATTAGCCACATGTTGCTATTGAGCACTTTAAATCCAGCTAGTGTGCTTGAGAAAGTGAATTTTTCATTTATTTAATATTAATTTTTAAATGTAAATAGCTACTTACAGCTAATGGCATCCACACTGGACAACACAAATATAGCACAAATAGTGAAAGAAACCCTAACTTGTTAGCATAAAATTCAGAAGAGATTAAACTCAGGAAATTCTTGAGGTTTAGACTTTTAGTTCTATACCCACTGCTGTCATTCTTAATAAAATACAACCAATACCAAGATAGCACTTACTTTGCACCAAGATACTGCTCAAAGTGCTTTATATTTATTAACTTAATTTTTACAATAATGCTATGAGGTTGAGAGTATTGTTATTATTATCCCTATTTTATAAATGATAAACAGTAATTTGCCCAAAGACACAAAATTGGTAAATAGCCAAGCTGGAATTCAAATCCAAGAAGTCTGAATGTGATACTCAGTCATTTAACCCTCAAGCCACATTTCCTCCCTAAATTAATCAATCTCTCTCTCTCTCCCTCTCCCTCTCTTGACATTTCTTTATGTATTTTTATGAAAAAATTACTCTCAGAAAACATTTTGAAAATGTTATTAGTCACATAATTTAATTTTATATTAAAAATACAAAATGCTAAATAATAATGTTATTCATCTATATCACTAAGCCTTATTCACATTCACGCATATTAGAGACAAAGGTAAATTAAATCCATAAAGATCACCCATGTGAATTTCACTTAGAAATGAGAGAAACTGACATCCCTATTAGATATTGGTTAGTCAGGCAGCAAATAATTATTGAATGCTTCCTATTCAACACTTCAGATACAGTGTATTTGTTTCTTTTGCTGAGTAACAAATACTCCAAAACTTAGAAACTTAACCATTTATTTAGCTCGGAATTCTGTGGATTGGTAGATTGGGCTGGTTTAAGCTGGGTGGTTCTTTTGGCCTTACCTGTAGTCACTCATGTGACTGCAGTCGACTGGCAGTTTTTAGCCTAAATCATTTGCCTGGTGGTTGTCTTCCTGTTGACTGGGCCTACAGAAATAGTTGGACCATCATCCTTCAAAAGTCCAGTGAGGTTTATTCACAAAGCGGTGGTCACAGAGCAGCAAGAGTGAAAAATCAAGGCCTCTTGATATCTAAGCTTAGACCTTGCACAAATTGAAGTTCACTAGATTCTGTTGGCCAAAGTAAGACAGAAAACCAGCCCACACTCAAGAGATGTGAAAATACACTTCCAAGTGAGCTCGTTCTGTGTTCCTTACTAAATATTGTGGCCCATTTTGTAAAGTCCATAATCACATGGTCCCCCCATGATGGAACTTTCAGCCTGGTGGTCCCAGTAGGAGTTTGAATCTTGAACATTTTCTGAAAGTTTGTTGTTGATGCTTTTAGGGCTTGGCCAAGATATGAAGATATCTTATTTTCACTAGTTTAAAAGATAGCAGAAGGCCTCTGCATGTAAATAGATTCATTATTAACAGTTACTTTTTATTTTGTTTCACATCTGTAACATTTTCTAGCATATCTAGAAAGAAGCAAAGACAAGGAAGTCTCCCTCTCCCTCCCTCTCACTCTCTCGCTCCCCCCCTCTCTTGCGCTCTCTCTCTCACTCTCACTCTCGTTCTCGCTCTTTCCCCAGGATCCTTTCAACTACTCTACTCCCTATTCCTGATAAACTCATATATACCACCTTTCATCTTTTCTCTTGCTGTCAGCATCAAAACCAACTTAGCTGGTATTCATCTGGGTGTGATCTACCTGTCAGGGAGTATCACCTCCCTGGAAATACAAGTTCTCAAAGAGGTCTCAGTTTCCATCTTGCTTTGCTTTGAAATAGGTTCTTTTTCCTGTCAAATGACGAGCTGCTGGAGATTTTGTCCGAAACAAAAGACCCCCTCCGAGTGCAGCCACACTTGAAGAAATGCTTTGAAGGAATTGCCAAGCTAGAGTTTACAGACAATCTGGAAATCATGGGCATGATCAGCTCAGAAAAAGAAACTGTTCCATTCATACAGACAATCTACCCAGCTAATGCCAGAGTAACTCCTCTTATTTACTTTTGGTTCTTTTCTCAGAGAGAGGGAGGGAGAGAGGGAGAGAGAAGAGAGAAACTGCTTAAATTTGCTTATTTTTTATTTTTGAGACAAGGTTTTGCCATGTAGTCCAGGCAATCCTCCTGCCTCAGCCTTCCAAATGCTGGGATTACAGGTTTGTGCCACCATGCACAGCCCACTGGTTAAGCTTTTGTACTGTACTTCTGGGTATGGAACTCTTGGTTTCCATAACTTAATGAATAGGTGTAGATAGACTTCCTACAATAGTGCAAAGAAATGCAAAGCAAATAGCTTAGGAATATAGTATTTTTGTGAAGAGGTGTCCTCTTGCCAACCCTGTCCAGAGGGAGAGCTGAGTTCCTCCCTCAGTCCCTGCTAAGCTGTGGTTGACTTCTGCTGCCTTCCTCTGTCTGTCTTGCCCCACAGGGCATGGTGGAAAAGTGGCTGCAGCAGGTGGAGCAGATGATGCTTGCCAGTATGCGGGAAGTTATTGGCTGTGGGATTGAAGCATATGTGAAGGTAAATGAAAACTGGGGCATGCATGTCAGGGTGCTGGTATCCTAAAGGAAACTTTGGGGAGAAGGGTAAATGGATCAGTTCTATTGGCCTCTCTGTGCCTCTCTATCCTTTACCTCTAAATCCTAGGGCACTGGTCATATTTCGGGTGAAATGTTTGCCCTTAGAAGCAGGTGATAAAAGAAAAAAGGGTTAGACAGAACCTTTTGCTTGTTACAGGCCAGTCCTTCCTATCAAATGGAATTAATGGTACTCGCTTATGTGGCATATGCCCTGGATGTCATAGCTCATTAAGCTTCCAAAGCTTTGAGGAAAACAAGTGTGACATAATGCCTAAAAGCACCTGTCACAACCCTTTAGCCAGCCACTAACAAGGTTTGCATTGGCAGACCCTGAATTTTGTCCCCTCTACTTTAATTGCCTTTCATTACCTCCAGGCCTCGTCTTCATTCCCAGGACCCAGTTCCATCAAACAAAACATATTTGATTAACACCTTCATTTTGAAGTGTTAAGAGATAGGCCCTTCTGTTTCTCATAGTAGTCTCTGCATTGTAAATGAAAGGCCTATTTTTTCCCCCTATGATATGTGCTAAATCAAAAATTAAAGAGAAACAGCTACTAGTGTGTAATTACCTATTGCAAGAAAATTGATAGCAAGAGTCGGCAAACTTTTTCTATAAAGGGCCAGGTGGTGAACATTTTCATCTCTGGGGCCACACTCTCATTGAAACTATTTTGTTTTGCCTAGGGCAGTGAACCAATGTGGCATAATTGTAGCACAGACAATAGGTGAATGATGAGCATGGCTGTGTTCCAATAAAACTTTATTTACAGAACAGGCCTGGCTAGTTTTGGTTCCCAGGCTCTCGTTTGCCCACACTCCTGATCTGGAGTTTAAGAAAAAAAAATTGGGGAAGAGGACATGTCTAAGAAAACTGGAGCATAACACTGCAGTATTATGGAGGGCAGTTAAAGTAGAGGGGACTAAAAAGAACAGTTATGGATCTTCTGTAGGTACTATCTTGATCAAAAGGATATAAAAAAAAATCACTGATGGGAGCATGAGAAAATGGAGCTGATGAGTTTGTTGATGGTGTTTTTCTTTTTCATAAACTTCAGGGAGGAAGGAATAAATCATTAATCCCAAGATGTCAAGCCTCATAGCATCTGAGGGAGAGAATTTTGTTTTCATTGAGGGTGTAAGGTGGTGGGGAATGTGTTTAGAAAGTCTGTTTAAACTACACACAGTAAACATCCTCTGAAAAACTCTACTACCCCTTTCCAGGTCCCTCGTAACAGCTGGGTCTTGCAGTGGCCTGGCCAGGTGGTTATCTGTGTCTCCTCCATCTTTTGGACTAAGGAAGTGTCCGAAGCCCTAGTGGAAAATACCCTGCCAGTAAGTGAGCCAGCTGTGAGGCCTGCAGAGGAGAGCCTAGCATTATATAGGATGTTTTCACAAAATTAATGTGAACCATGACATCACAGAAGCCAGAGTCCTCATGGGGACAGTGAGATGAAGATTTTGGAATTGAAGGTGTCCTGGGGGTCTGTAGTGCAAGACTGCTTCATTATTCCCCAAACAGAAATTCTGGGCTGTGTCATTCTAGGTTTTATCAGCCTTTGCTTCCAGCGGTCAACCTGGCAGAACTCCCACCAGTGGAGATCCCCATATTCTTCCTAGGCCAGGAGACCATTGTTTTCCTCTCTTTCTCTGCTCCTGACCCCTTCTTATCACCAGTCCCAAATGAATGCATATCCAGCCCTTTCTTCAGCTTTCTCTTGAGACCAAGAACTGTATGCTTATCATCAGACCAAGCACACGTCACTCCATTCAATTGATACCAGCGCTTAAGAGCACAAAAGTTGGATGGATATGAGTTCAACACATTTCCTTGCTAACTGTGTAACCATGAGCAACTTGTTTAACCTGAGTCTCAATCTCCTTGTCTGTAAAATACAAGAAATTATCACATCACATCATACTATGGTGGAAGGATTAAACAAGATTGCAATGAAATTATTCAGTATCTGAATGCTAGGCCTTAAATGGTACAGAGAAGAGGCCTCATCTGTTCTGCTTACTGTTACATCTCCAGGGTATAATGCAGTACCAAGCACACAGTAGATACTTAATAAATATTTATTGAATGAATGAATGGTAACACCATCCCAACTTTTCTGTCATGATGTAATTTCCTATGATTGTTTCATCAGTCCCTTTTATTCCTCTCTAGAGTATGGATGAGGACCAGAATATATTTTACTCCATTTTGCTTTATACATTAAAATTAGAATATCAGCGCTTGACCAAGTTTCAAATTTATGCAGATTCTATATTGATAATTCCTAGTATATATATTGCACTTACATTTGCAAACTGCAAAATGTTTATCAATCCGAACGTCTAAAAACTTCTGACTTTTGTGACTACATCTCCTACCTTTCCTATCTGTAGATAGGCAAAATGTTTCCCATCACACGTACAAACTTTGGAGTCCATTCATGGTGAATAATGTGCCTTGGTGTTCTTTTTTTTTCCCATTAACTTTATTGGTACATTCATCATTGGGATCTTGTACCATTACATGCATCTCTTGGTTCTTTTTTTTTCCCCTTCCCATGCCCTCCCTTCACCCCCTCCACCCATCCCTATTTGCAAAGACTTTGTTTCCATTTTTTTCTTTTTCTCATATTTTTTCTTTTCCCTTTTTTCCTTTCCCCTACCTCTCCCACTTCCCCTCCTCCTTTAAACCTTTTCTTCCTATTACACAATATCAGTTATACTTTTTAAAATTATAATATGAAGATCTAGGAGACATTACCACAGATTTTACAGAATTTAAAAGGATATAGAAAG